TAACGGCCCTAAACTTTGGAAAAATATACCTTCTGATTTTAAAAATAAACCCTCTCTCTTTAGTTTCAAACGCAATTATAAAAGACATCTGGTCTCGGCATATGGCGAACAGTAGTTCAGCAATCATTAGCTATACTATTAGTTACACTTTAATATCTGGATTTTCTGTTTCTTTCGACTTCTTAAATAATTTTTGCTTGTTTAGATTGATTGTTTCTAATTTTTCCCTAATTTTTATTTTGTGTTTGCCCGGTTTTCTTCTTCACATTTACTTATAAATTACTTTGTCCATCTGATTTTTAGGCGACCATGACTTAAAGTTCTCGAACTTATTTTGGTCGCCTTCCACACAAATAATTTACTTTTATGTATTATATTACGACGTATTTATTGGCTTTATCATGATTATGTTGTATTGTGTGGAAAATGAACAATAAACAAACAAACAAACAAACAAACAAACAAACAGTGAAGCTATCAGCATCAGGTAAGCATTTGATAGCGACGGGTTTCGGCAAACTGAAATTCCGGTAATATCGGTGAGCAGTTTTTTTAAACGTTAACGGCCTGAATCCGGTTTCATCATCTGATGCTAACACCTCACCCGGTCGTGATTCCCATGAGCCACAGCTGGGACCTCTCCGTCATCCTGTTACTGTTGGCAGATAAGGTTATGTTGGTTAAGATAAAAAGCAAGCCTTTTGACATCATTCAAGTTTTCTTTCCTCAATGAGAAAAGCATACGCACCAACGTCAGACACTACGGATACAGAGCTTGAGACAACTAGACGAAATAAAACAACAATGCCAATCACAAGATATCATCATCGTCATGGGAGACATCAACGCTAAGGTCTGGAAGGGCAGGAAGGTAGAATAGTTGGTGAACACGGACTTGAAATGAAAGAGGCGATACATGAGTTAATTGATGCACTGCTAATGACCAAGGTATAACAAATACATGGTTCCCAAACCATCCCAGACGTCTCTGGATTTTGAAAAGTGCAGGAGACAACACCTGAAATCAAATTGACTACATAACAATCAACAGCCGTTTCGGGATCTCAGTACTTCATTCTAGAAGATATCCAGGTGCCGATTGTGGCAGTGACCGCAACTCAATTATCTTCAAATTTCGTGTCAAATTGAGGAAGCGGAAGCCCAAAACAGCAGAAGTAAAACTGGATTGGAACCTTCAGCGAGAGAACCAAGAACTCGAAATTAAGGGTGTTAGAAATTTTAATTATGTGTTAGAAAGATATGCTCCTCTAATGGGTGCATTAATTTCAAAGATGGCACTATAATCATGGAACAAGATAAAATTGTTGAACGACGGACGGAATATATTGATGAGCTTTTTATGGATGAAAGAGTACAGAAACCTCAAATCAAAAAGAACATTGAAGTACCTCCGATTATAATATCGTATACTGTACAAAGGTCTTCGAGAAAATTAGACATGAAACACTTTTTAATATATATTACAATCTTTGACACAGACAGGAAAGACATCCAGATCATGCAAAGCATATACAATATACTGGGAACAGACAGCGGGTATAAAATTCAAAATAATAATAATAATAAAAAGGATACACCAAGGTGCACTTTAAAAGTAAATAATGAAATACTACAACAGGTCGATCAATTTGTTTATCTTGGAAGTATGATAACCTCAGATGGCAGATGTGAAGTCGAGATTTGAGGGAAAATCGCTGTCACGAAAAAAAAACCAGTCCAAAAACGTCACAAAATTAAAAGAAAATAAAAAACTGTTGATGAAAACCAGAATAAGATCACTAAACTGTTGTGTATACTTTGTCCTGTGTAACGGAAGTGAGCCATGGACCATATCATATGCAACGGAAAAGAAACAAGATTATCTGAGATTACAATACCTCGCCCTGTTGCACCATATGTTTGTATATAGTCATATATGATAAATAATAATAATAATAATAATAATAATAATAATAAATTATAGTTAAATTAATAAATTATTATTATTAATATAATATACATCGATCACACAATTACCCTTATACTAATTATAATATATACATTTATGGCGCACAACTTGTTGACGGTAATTAGTATTAATGTACACATATACTAAATACCGTCAATAATACTTGTTGACGATAATTAGCATGACCCCAAGAAAGCTGTGTCATCGAGAATAGAGAAAAACCCCTTTTTTGTTTGCAGCATTTTTGTTTGGAACGTTTTTTTTGTTTTTTGTTTGCAGCGTTTCTTTTTTGTTTGCAGCGTTTTTGTTTTGTTTGCAACATTTCTTTTTGTTTGCAGTATCTCCCCTGAGGGCCATCGTATCAACCTGTGTTGTCCTATAAATGAATAAATACATTTTGTAATAAAATACCTCCGACGGGATTCGAACCTGCGACCTCTCGCTGTCAAGGTGAGCGTCATAACCATTAGACACGAAGGCTTCATGGTTGAACAGATTCAAATAACCGTCAGGTACATTCTATTACACAATGGGCGTACGGCTGGAAATAAAGAGTAGCATATAATATACAGAGCCGTTAAATTTATATATAAATCTCTCCCCCCCCCCCCCCCCCCCCACCTCTCTCTCTCTCAAAAATGTTCATCAAAATTGAAAACCCGTGCTCGGATGATTACGTTCTTTTTTCACAAAGTCGATCACGATTACGACAACGCAAAATTATAGCACATGCATAGAAACTACATCATTTTGGACAAAGCGGCTCAGGGTTGGCACGGCGGGTTTATAAAAGGGTCAAATGCGGCGAAGACCATCAGTCTCCCCATGGATCCGCCCAAAGTACAATTTAAATAAAAGTTCTGTGAAGCCAAGCCAGCCAAATGCTGCAAGCAGAAACAGAATATTGTCAAGTATAATATTGAATACTGCTACGTCTTTAAATAATTTTAGAAAGACTTTTGCAAATTAAGTCAAGGTAACTTTTAAATTAAGAAGAACATAATGAGCCAATCATGCTTTTCTTTATAATGTTATAAAGCAGGTAAGATAAGCCTACTCATAAAGAATACTGTAAAATTGGATAATACAATACCGTACATGCTAAAATGTTGTGATGCATTCCTTATTCGACACATATATCGAATTATTTTAGTGATTAACACGATCACTTTATAATATATTTTATTCCATTATATTTAGTGAACGTATACGCGTTTGTATCAGCCGCATTCACTGAAGTGGTACGTTCCACCATGGAGGTATTACATACTGAATACTCTGCTCCGCTACCGTAATTTGTATAATACAAGGGCTGACCTCGGTTCACATTTAGGGGGGGGGGTCACATTTTTTCACAAAAAAAATCCCAAAAAAGGGGGGGTCGAGGTCTCCCTGGAAAATTTTGATTCATAGATGGCTGGAAATGAGCTTTCCCGATTTCTAATTTTCCCATTGTAACAACAAAAAAACGGGTCCTGAAAAGGTACTGTAGGTCTAGGATTTTTTTTTCCATAGGGGTGTCAGGATCCTCCGGACCCCCCCCCCCCCCAGATCTGGCAATGTGAATAATGAAATCTCACATGTGTTGCTTTTGCAGTGTAGCAAGTCCTTGTCCAATTATAATTAATCTTTTTTCATGTCATGAACAATTGCTTTTTAGCTTTCATCGTTATCGTTAAGTATAAACAGGCCTTTACCATCAGAAGCAAAGAGTTGGAAATCATATTAAAGCGCTTTGTAACCAAGAAGCTGGACACATATTCTAGGCAGAGCATAACAACCTAATAAAATAAGTTCAGTTTCCTTTGCTTTAAAAATGGGTGTATTCTGTTAAAATTTTTCGTATGTTGCAGAGATAAAATTTAATTATATATATTTATGGAAAAACGCTTTGTTGCAATTATGTCCAACTTTGGTGCTTCAAATCCGTATTTCTGGTGAACTAATAAAGAAGGCAAGATACACAGTTGTTTGGAGGCCTTGGCTGGTTCGTGCAACATTTTTCGCTGTTTGGTAACAACTCCCTGTTTACAAAGGAGCAATTACAATCAAATGGAAAATAAGAAAAAGACAGTGGAAACAGGATGATGGCAAGAGAAAAAGGACAACAGGCCTGTAATTGTAGCCCACACATATTACATATCTAAAGTAGATATTTTTTCAGTTCTACTGTGTGGTTGTGTATTTCTTCACATTGTTCTTATGTTATTACTTTCTCACGGGTCCAAACATTACCATTTTCCACTTTTTTTACAGCATATACCCTGTGATTAAATAATAACATGCATATTTTTTTAAAAAAAAAAGCTTAATAATCATGGCACTGGCTGTTGCTACACCAGTTTTAATTGAAGTCTCGTTTCTGTGTGGATGTTATTGTATATATCCAATAAAACATACAATAACATCCACTCAGAATTAGGAATTCATTGAGATTGGTGTAACAATAGCCACTGCATGAAGTTAAAATATTTTGAATCACACCTGCACACCAACAAGACCTGTTCCAGTTGCAACGTCTAAAATACGTGCCGTCTTTGATGATACAAACTTCTGAAGCACTTCTGCAGCAACTCTGTAACCAATATATTTATTGTTTACTGCCTAATAAAGTAAACAGATAGAATAATATGATTAAAGAAATTACAGCTTTATAACTATTGTTAAACAATTTGCGAATTAATATTAGTTTTAGAAAACAAAATATTTATTTTAGGCCGACGCCGCTTATATACATATACACACACACACATATATATACACATATATATATATATATATACATATATAAATACATATATATATATACATATATATATATATAAATAATATATGTTGTTAATATTAATACTAAAGATGATGATGATAATAATAATAATACTTTAATAACAATAATATTAGCAATAATATCAAAGCATAAGTTGATTATTATTTTACATTTATAAAAACCGGTAAAGTTGGTGGATATAACACAAAGCTGCAAAATGAAACGATTGAGGGCTAAATCTTGTTTTGACTGACAGAGTCAACGTCACATTCTTTCTCTTGTCCTGCATTGGTATTACTGTACTATCGTGACCGTAGGGGTGGGGATAGACAAAATAAGAAAATCTTCTTACAATTAATTTTCTGAAAACGTTAATCAGTACATATTTTCTTTTATAAAGCATTTGTTACCGTGTGACATGACAAATTACAAACTACAACAAGGTGGTATAAGGTGAAGTGTGGATGACCTTAATTATCTTGTATAAAAATGTTAAAAACATGGTTAGGTTTTGGGACATTAGATACTGAGTGAGAGAAGAAGTTAACCAGGGCTGTGTTTATTCACCGATCCTTATACACAACAATGAGCTAGCAAATATCCTCCGTTCACCGCAATGTTCTTTGCAGAATATGTTATGTCGAACTAGAATTCCATCTCTGGACGATGCAATTCACAATTGCCAACGTCTATTGTCAGAAGTCTCACTTTGTAAATATAATAATAATTAGGTTTATGCATACCAGGAACATAGAGATAAACTACTCCACAGGGGGGAACGGGTCCCGTTGGCAATTTTGAATTGCCTCCAGAGACTGCCATTCTTGTTCGACATAACATCGTCTGCAAAGAATAAACAACCCAACTTTTATTTTATACACCCCACATTTGCTACTCGATACTTATTTGCTGTAAGACATACATAAAGATGGCATTAAAAAAAGAAGTGAAATTTTAGCAAATGTAAATGATGAACCTAACTATATTAAATTCTTTTAAATTATGAGGAAATTTTTGAACGTTTTAAATATACTATTCATAAATATATCACAAGTTTGTATAAATATTAGCTAGGTTTATTTCATTGTCTCGTACTGTATTTTAATAGTTTAGGATATATTATTTGAAAATGTATTCTATCGTATTTTAATTCAATTGTATTTGATTGTGTAGGCCTTACAATTAAGCCTCATCAGTGTAGCTAGGGTACAGCAGGGGCGGATCCAGAGATGTCCAAAAGGGGGGGGGGCTGAAAGGGGGCTGTCCCTTATAC